CTGTAATCACACTGCTGTACAAGAGAACACCACAATTTATTACTCCTTTCTAATTGTAACTTTGTACCCATTGACCATCCTCTTACACATCCTTCACTTCTTTCTACCCTCCCCAGTCTCTGCCAACTACTGTTCTATTCATACTTCTATGAGATCAACTTTCTTAAGATTCTCTATGTGAGTGAGAACAGTCAGTATTTGTCATTCTGTAACTGGCTTGTTTCATTTATCTATGTGATTGCAAATGATCATATTTCATTCTTTTTTATGGCCGATTAATATTCCATTATGTATATATATCTTATTTACTTTATCTACTCATCTGCTGTTAGATACAGATTGATTCCATGTCTTGGCTATTGTGAAGAGTGCTGTAATCAACATGGGAGTCTGACATACTGATTTTATTTCTTTGGATATGCAGTTGTCCCTCACTCTCCGTGGGGGATTGATTTCTGGACCCCACAGGGATATCAGAATCCACTTATGCTTCTGTTTCTTATGTAAAATGATATAATATTTGAATATGACCTATGGACATCTTCCCTTATGCTTTAAATCATCTCTAGATTATTTATAACCTAATACAATGTAAATACTATGCAAATAGTTGTTAAATATTATTTTTATTTGTATTATTATTGTTTTTAAAATTGTTTTTCTTAAAATATTTGTGATCCATGGTTGATTGAATCACAACTACAGAACCCACAAATATGGAGGGCTGACTGTGTACCCAGTATTGTAATTGCTAGATCATCTGATAGTTTTATTTTTAATTTTTTGAGGTGTCTCCATGCTGTTTTTTATAATGGCTGTATGTATTTACATCTCCCCAAAAATGTGTAAGGGTTCTCTTTTGTCCACATCCTTGCCAACACTTACCATTTGCATTTTTTATAATAGCCATTCTAACTGGGTTGATGTGATTTCTCATTGTGGTTTTGATTTACATTTCTCTAATATCTAGCAGTGTTGAACATTTTCTCATATACCTGTTGGTCATTTGTATAATCTTTTCTCTATTTTAGAATCAGATTTTTCTTTTTTTGCTATTGTTTGAGTTTCTTATGTGTTCTGGGTATTAACCCCTTGTCAGATGTATAGTTGCAGAGATTTTCTTCCATTATTTAGGTTGATTTTTTACTGTATTTTTTTTTCTTTTCTAAGAGACAGGATTTTACTCCATCACCTAGGCTGGAGTGCAGTGGCATGATCATAGCTCACTGCAGTCTTGAACTTCTGGGCTCAAGCAAACCTCCCACCTCAGTCCATCCCCCAAGTAGCTAGGACTACAGGCACATGCCACCATGCCATGCCTGCTAATTTTTAAAGTTTTGTTTATTTGTTTGTTTGTTTTGTAGGTACAGGGTCTCACTATATGGCCTGGGTAGGTCTAGCTTCAAGCAATCCACCGAAGTCCTGGAATTACGGTCATGAGCGCCCACACCCAGCCACTCACTGCATTGTTTCCTTTGCTGTGCAGCTTTTTTTGTTTAACGTAATCTTATTTGTCTATTTTTGTTTTTGTTGCCTTTGCTTTTTATGTCTTATCTAAAAAATTCTTATCCAGGCAATGTCATAAAGCATTGTGATTTCTTCCAGTCGTTTCATAGGTTCGGTCTTACATTGAAGTTTTTGATCTGTTTTGAGTTCATTTTTAAAATATAGAATAATGTTTTAAACTAGGTTAAATCACCATAGAGTCATTAGGTAACTATATATAGCAGACTTAGAAGCATCAAGAAGATCTATAATAATAAAGAATGCAGGCAATAATTGAGGTTAGATTGAACTGTCTTTAAGGAGGCTAATGAAAAGTGTTCTTACTTTCATCAGGTCTGTAGTTTGGCAGGTCTAGAAACTCCATTTTGAGATTGTTTGCAGGGTTAAACAGGCCCAGAGGCAATGGCTCTTACTTCCAGACTCGAAAGAGATAGTCAAGATAGTCATATAACAGATTGTTTATTCCTGTATGTGCAGTTGTCAGGTGTGCCAAAGGACTCTTCAGCACATTCTTTTTCCTGTATAACAACATATGTGGCAAAGTGTTGCTTGGTGAGAATGAACTCAAAACAGGATGAGTTAGTTGGATGGATTGTATCTTCAAGCTGTCTATGCCAAGAGGACTGGGTTCTCAGGTCTGTTTACCAGGAAACCGCTGGTGATCAATTCTTGCTCTGTCCCACACCCACAACCTCCCATTTTTCTAACATCAGGCCAGTAGATATTTCTTTCTCCCTTTCTCTTAGAAACTTTTTCCCCCATTCCAGGTATAATCTTATTAGTTAGGGTACAGTTTTGTTTTAATAGTCAACATAATTTTTTAGACTAGACCTGAAAAATAAAAATAATTTCTTAGGTGAGATCACCCACCAGAAGATAAAATATTAGGTATAATAGGTAGGGCCTGTATTTCTATATGTCTTGCTGTTTCTAGTTCATTATTTTTTTAAAAACTTCCAGTTTTTAAAAGAATAAATTATTCTTAAATATCTCTTAGTTATATAGACTGATGAAAGTCTTAGATGTTTTGATCATTAGACTGTAATCAAGGCATAAATATTTCTCTATAAATGAAGTGTTCTCATAGACAACACATGTTGAAAATGTTATTCCTGGACAAGTGAATTTCTCTGGAATGCTTCGTTTTCCATATAATTAAGAACTTATACTTTGTATTTAAACTCCTTGAGGATAATAGTTATCATATCGGTCCTTTCATGATGGGCACTAACCATGTTGAGTCTTTAGTATTGAATGAAGTTATCTGCACCAAAATATTTTAATTATTTTCATGTTTTTTAAAATGCCAAACGTATATTAAACGTAATTTGACGTTTGAGGATAAAGTGGTTTTTTGTATTCTTGCTGGTAGTAACCCCTGTTCTCTTCTAGTTTGATGTTTCTGTCCTGCTTGTGGATGTGATAACTTAACTTGTATTGCCCTGGATATGTTACGTGTAAGCACCAGTGCAAAAACTTGACGACATGTTTGGTTGCTAAAATACAAATTATACTTATAACAGTATTCTGGATAGCAGCGTTTCAGAGAGATGAGCATTTGCCATTTCCAGAGGAAAAAAATAGCCATTGTGGCCAGCCTCACAAATCCTACTCTTAAAATAATGGTAAATATCACATTGTTTGAAAGAATAACCATGCTTATGATGATTTAGTAGATAGTGTTCTAGTTATTTCTGGAAACAGATTCGAGGAAGGTATCAAAAACATTTGAAAATAAAAGCTTTTTCTGTATAAAATCTAAATCTGAAATCTTTAAATTTGATTCTTTTAAAGCCGCAAATAAATCTCTCAGGATTATAAGCAAGTTGCAGTTTCTGCATAGTAAAAATTTCCCTTAATCTTAGCTGGTGATAGTTGTTGGACCTTGCATTTGCCTTATATGCAATGGAATAGTTTCTAGTTTTTAAGTGTTGCCCAAACTGTGATCTTAGGCCATTCATATACCTTTTCTAATAGCATTTCTATTTCATCTTTCTCTTTGACTTCTATTTTATCTTTTTCTTTGCACAAGCTGTTTTAATTGCTCTGGAACAATGTGTCACCATCAAAACTCTAAGAAACCACTAAAATGATTTCACTTACTTCCTTTACAGATATGGAACTTGAGGCCCAAATTTCCTCTAAGACCCTAATAAGTGTTATATGTTTGTAGACTGTGTTTTCATAAAGTCAAACATTTTGAGGAAATTACAGCAGAGCTGAGAAAGGTTAATTATTAATAGAATTATCATTGGATACCATGAATCATAATGTTTGATAGAAAAACTAATATAGAATATATAGTTAATCTATAACTTTTTTAAAAATCCTGGAAAATCTGTAAATGAAACTCTGTTATTGGTAACTAGTTATCTTAAAAGTAGATCCATTTTCTCTAATTTCCTCTTATATAGGCTAACTGTAGTTATGTAACTATTCATAATGAGAATTTAATATGATGAGCTCTTTAACGTCTCTAAAGAGTTGTTTTTGAGTGAAGGTGCTATTTATTGGCATCATTGGAAAAAAGTTTTAGAGCCAACTAAGTTCTTGGGATTTTACTTGTAGCTACAAGTGTTTGTATGAATAGTACTGCTTAATAAGTTCACCTATGTATGAGCAAAATGTTAAGGTTAAAGGGATAAAAAGAAGAAAACTTCTCCAGCTTTTGGTATATTTGAATGAATATACTCTTTTGCACTGTTTCAAAGTATATTTAAAATACAAATAAATTTCTAAAAATAAGATTATATAATTTGTGTTTTTATTATTTGGCTATTGTCATAACAGTTTGCCAATCGAATGATCAGTCTTCTCTTCTGATAACACAAATTAAACCAGCATTTCTAGAAGCAATCTTTTGTTTGTCAAAATGTTTTTCTTATGATCCTTGTAGAAAGCATACAATTTAGAAATTGTATTATTATGAAAAATGTGATTTTTCTGCTAAAAAAGAACTCTGGTCAGTTTAGTTTTCAGAGTAATAGATGTTGTAATACAGCAAATTCATAGATTGCTTTATTGAATTTTGTTGTTGTTTACAGAAGTCTAGAACCAGTAGCACTCTTTGACTCTTAGGCAGTTATCTGTTCATTAGTTTATTTCAGATGTCATTTTTGTATTTATTTTTAATGCATATTCATTGACAGTTAAATTGAAAGTAGTCTGTAGGCTTTCAAATGAATTGTCAAGAAAGCAAGTGTAATAAAAGGTTATATTTTAATGAAGTGCTACTCCCACAGTTTTTGTGAGGTTTTTGTATTTTAAACAGTACTAACCAAATCTTTTTTTTTTTTGCATAATGTTGATTTTGTTTTTCCACGGGGATTCCAGCAATGTGTGAAAGATAATTTAAAATTTATAATACTCATATATAAATGGTTTAAATATTTAGAATATTCTCAGAATAACATTAAAAACGTCATAGAACAGATACAGAATAAAGGCTTAATAACTTTGTTACATCTGAAAAAATAATTTTTTGTTTTTAATAGGATACAACATCTATTGAAAAGATGTCAAACTGTTGTGAAGATATGTAAGTATAAAACTGAAGTGTGCGGTATTCTTATTTAAAAATGGAAACAACTGGACATATTTGAGAAATACGTGATATAGTAGAAAGATAATATAATGATGGCTTTTTCTTGTTGCCTTGTCTGAGGCCTGTGCTAGACAAGCATACCCCAGTCTTACAGTAGGGGTCTTCCAGCCATGATAGTTTTCACACTAAAATGCTGATCATTCTTGTGCCTTGTCTAACTAAAGTAAGTTAAATTATTTGTCCTGAAAGTACATCAAAAGAGATTTGCTACTGTGTTGTTGACATACATTCTGTTAATCCTGAGATTCTCCTCTGCTTCAAAAGTTGCGCTAGGTTGATTGACGACACAGATACAATATCTGTTATCCAGAGTTAAAACTCAGCTGCATGCCATAATGAAAGAAAAGCTGTATTTATGATGCTGGGACACAATTCATCAGAGTCCAGTAATGGATCCCCAGCCAACCTGTATTGTTTTAGCTGACTGAAGTGCACCATGGGAGTGCTGTCTTTCACTAATAATGCTGTCTTCTGTAGATCGAGGCCCCGAAAGCCATGGCAGCAGACCTTCTCAGAAGTTTTTGGCACTCGTTGGAAGATCCTGTGGTTCATTCCTTTCAGGCAGAGGCAACCACTGCGAGTTCCCTACCACTTTGCCAATCATGTCTAAACAGATGGATGGTGGGCACAGATGGGTCCTCCATGCTGGAAATGCGTTACAGGTTTTATGATAATAGAACTATGACAGTCTTCAAGTCAATTAAAATCCACCCACCAATCTTAGGCATCATAATGTGCCCCAGGCTTTATTTTAATAGTGATCTTGATCCTGTTGTGGGACTAATACAAGATCTATATTTAAGTTTTAAAGCATGTTTACTTTCAAATTAGCTTTCCACAGGGATTTCTTTAAATGCTTTTGTTCTTAAACTCAAAAGGCAGTGATTGGGATGAAATAATTGTACATAATTTCTTTAAGTACTGACAATGTTACAGATTCTAATTTATGGTAAATTTCAGATGTTGATTTAAAATTTTCACTTTTAAACAGTACTAACCAAATCTAAATTTAATTTTTCAGGTTTTACAAAAGCTGATACACCTTCTTATAGTATAGATAAATTTTCTGTTTCAAATCCAATTTAAAATAACCTTCCTTTTTATATGTGCTGCAACATTTTAAAAAATGCGGCAGCAAAGGAGTGAACAACAGTAACAAAAAAGGGCAGTGGTTTCTTAGGAGTGGCTAATGTTTTCTTCTTTTTTTCTTCACCAAAACCAAAATAAAAGCACCACTGAAGTAAAACACCCAACTACCTACCTGACTGTAAAGGAAATGTTAAAACTTTTCACAATAATTTTTCCATTTTCACCATTACTGTTGTAATTTTGATTGTGATTAGACTATTCACCTCCAGGAGAACTCCTGACCAATGGGCATGTATTCCTATTTTACCCTAAGATTTTAATGGGCAAAAAGGGGAGAGAATTTGCAATAACTTCACAATTACCTTTTCTAGTGCAGTTACATTAGAATGCATATGTTTTTAAAATGCTAGTGTAACTAGATAATATATAATGTACAGTATAAAGAGGAATATTGTGCTTTTGAAAAGAGTATACTTTTTACTTTTATTTATGTATTAGTAGATGTAAAATTCCACATTGAAGGTTTATATATAGATATTGACCAACTCATATAGAAATTTTATTTATAAGAAGCTACTACTAAAAGAAGTTACTAACTTTTATGTACCTATAATCACCTAAATTAAAATTAAATTTTAATTGTCCGGCTATAATTTGCATTGAGAGACCTTCTACTAGTAGCTAATGTTAGGAAGTGACCCTAAAATAAGAAAATATAATGATCTGGGTTTATCATTATCCTTACACAAATTTACATTACTAATAGTGATGTTCTCTTGCAAGGCACAGAACATTTGTATGAAAAGACATTTAGTATGCTTCGAAAAAAACTCAGCTTTTAATTTTTTTCCATTAGAATACTGCAAAACTCATATATCTTTTAAAAGAATTTATGTACTCACAATCTTTCCCTTGAAGAGAAGATTGAAAGAGTCTACTGTTTATGAACCATGCTAATATTTTCCTTTTAGTTAGTCTTGGAAGTAAGGAATAATACCTGGGAAATAATTAAACAGAAGGTTACCATTGTCAGCCAGCTGGCTGTATTGTGGTTAGTTCTTTCAGAAATTGTAAATATCTTATAACATATTCTGAAATAATAGAGTAAGTTCTTCTCAGAGATGCTAATATTATGTTTTCATGTTCTAATTAGAATACTTTATTACTTAAAAACTCAGAAGTGGCAGATAAACGTATTTATTGGTACTGAAAAAAGATGTAGTGAATTAAATAGAAGAAATATATTTATAAAGCTTATTGAAACACAAAATTAGAATGTTCATGTCAGGCAAATGGGTTGCATTTTGTGCAAGCCAATTGACCACATTTGGCCTGGTGACAGAACTGTTTATAAGGAAGTAATATATAGATAACATAGGTAGATGTCAGTTGAATGCCTTATATTGTGTGCATTCCTTTCAAATAAGGACCTTGAGAAAACAGCAGAGCCAGTGAACATCCCCTAAAAATCTCTGTGGCTAATTTATACTTTATGTGGTAGCAGTAGGTACACTGAAAGGCACTGGGCGGGGTCTGTTTCCTACTCTGATGATTTGTGTTCTTATTTTTCCTAGATTTACCACTTTTAGGGCTTATTCTTTACCCTGTTCCTCTTTACCTTCCCTGGTCCCGATCCCTCTGTACTCAATAACTTTAAATTATTGGACTATAAACTAATACACTAGAAAAGCATATGCTTGTTTTATTTGAGTGGCAGAAATGCTCTCTATTAGTATATTTACATAAGAATATATATTAAAGTATATCTATATATACTTACACTGTAACTTTCAGTATTCCTAAGTCAGCATACCTAACCCTCCTGTTGGTTTTGTTAATTAATTCTTGTTAGACTACTAGAGAGAAACCAACTGGCAGTTTCCTAAGCGTATCTACCGGTGTTCTTTCTGCGCCCTCTTTTGGCTAATTGGTGTAATTATACTGGCACTAGAGATTTACTGCCCTATGAGTAAATAGTATAGCCACATTCTGAACATATCAAAAGTACAAACTTCTGAGGAGTGTATGTATAAAAATGTAAAATTTTATGAAGGTGAACATTTTTTAATGATATTTCTAGTTCTTAAGAATGTGATGACTACTTTGCTTCATTTATATGTATTCTCATTAAATTCTTGTTATCGATCAGTCACAAATTTATATCAGATTAGGATAAACTAAGCCGTTTCATGTATTTTATTTTAAACTTCATTTTGGCAGAGTAATTCCTTAGAATAGGAAAAGCTTTTACCTTTACCAATTTATTACAAAGCAGAAATTTATTGTAGCTACAAAGACAACCAAGTGTCTACTGTGTTTTAACGAATATCTAAAAAACTATATTTAGGTTTTTTTACTCAGTTTTGAAATGATTTGTTTTTACTGGCTCTATTGCCTTAAAATAACACAGAAATTAATGATTCTTTATATACTTTTCCTTTTCTGTTTTTTTTTTTAACTTTCCCAGAGTTATATCTATCGTTTTAGTAATCAATTTATTATGTATTCTGGATAACTATGAAAACAACTAAAGGTGTTGGACGTTAAAAAATAATTGTGAGCAGTGAGATTACTGCTATAATATGTGTGTTGGACTGAAGTATTTCCTTATACACATTCTGTTTGATTTTAAGCAAAATGTATGTTAAAGAATGCTTTTACATTAGTAAAGTCATTATTGGGTTTCAGGAAATGGAAGGTTTTTACCTAGATACTATAAGTTACACCTCCTGAACAATCATATTTGTCATTGTTTTTTGCAAACAAAAATGTTTATGGGCTTCGTATAGGCTTAAGATTTTAGGCAAAAATGGACTGAGTTCAGGACCCCTCAACCAGTAGACATTCAATTAGAGAGCAGTTGGTACTTTGTAACCCAAACTTATAGTTTAAAAATATCAAGTTAGCTGATGTTCCATTGTAATAAAAGTGCTATTTTGCTTAAGAGTTGTATTGAAAATATTTGTGCTTAACATAAGAAATAGCTATTTTAAATTGTAGTTAGCATATTAACCTCTTTTTCAGAAAAAAAGTATAGTTTATTTTTAGTATTAATGAAATAGAGAACATAATACATAATGTTCAGTATAACAGCGGAGTTAAAACACCTGTCAGAATTAACATCAGTGTGTTTTTGCCAATGCATAGAGGCATTTTTCTCTAAGTATGGTAGCTAATGATAACTATTCTTTGTTAGACATTCAAGTCACTTCCATACAAGTAACTAGTTGGCAATATGTTTTATTCCAAAGGGTGTATTAATTCTGAATGCTGATCATGAAGACTTAGGACAATACTTCCAACCAAGAAGTATGAACTGATTTAGATTATGGCCACACAATTTTCTGTGTGTTAGATCATGAGGCAGTTTGAGTGTTTTCATGTGTAGTGCTATAAAATCACAGTGTATCAAGCTCTGGTTTAATATGCCATTCATATTAATTAACAGAGCTGCTAGTCTCTCTCTGGAGCCTGCTCTAGTCTCTGCTTCTCTTGTGCTTCCTGTGTCAATAGATTACTTAGCTCAAGTTTACCAAATTTAATAACCTATAGTTACTTTATTAAATACATTTCTGACATGACCTCTAATATACATAGATATATCTAGAATTTATTTGATAAAATTCACACATACTAACATTAAGTAGTTTGCTAATAGATACAAATGTTAGATTTTCACACAACTCTACTACTACTGCTTTAAAAAATATATAAGTATTGGTAAATGTAGCTAATAAGCCGTGTACATTTAATGTGTTCTACTTGCTAGTATTAACTGTATAATTAATGAATGTGTTATTTAATGCCCAAGTTTGTTAACTTTTATTCTAGAAATCATCCTCTGAATTTATCTATAAATCACAAATTTCATTGTGCTCTACAGTCATTCTCAGTTGAATTCTAGAATACTCTACAATACCATGTGAGAAAGTATTAGAACCAACTTGCTTGAAGTATTTTGAACCAATGTTGTAATTCTGTATATTAATCAGTATTTAGCATTTCTGCTGCTTTTGAGGTGATGATGGTTTAACTTCAGGAAAGTGACATTTCTCTGACTTCTTTATCACTGTGCAGTTTTTAACAACAAAACTTACTACATCTTTGTTAGTTCTTCAGATGTTGCAATACTGCCCGCTTATTTGAAACAGAAATAACAGTGGTATTTAAAAAGTCATTAATATTACTGATATTTTCCAGTATCATTATTTTTTTAACTATTATGTTCTTTTTGCGTTGTCTACCCTAGAGAATAGGTACAAATGAGTAGTGAGTATCTAAAAACTTACTAAGATGGAGAGAAGGCTGGATGGTGCATGAATAATCACCATCGCAGCAACAGAGTTGACTGGAGCCAGTTTCTGACGTCAGAAAATCTCTTTGCTGTAATCATTTTAGCCTTATCTCTTATTTATACCATTTTTACTGGAAGAGTTGTTAGTGCATATAAATATTTAGTTTGAATTATTTAACTTAAGGAATTTATATTGCTGTTTCTCTTCAGTTGGTCAGATGCCTTTGAGAAATATTTTACTTTTAAATATCATAATTGTGTAGAGTGTGTTAACATGAAGTGTTAAAAATAATGTTGAAAATGCAGCTATTTAATGTAGAGGAGAAATGAATAGGTTGCCCAAAGTTTGAAAAAACTGGCACCTTTTCTGGAAATCTCTTATTGCAAAGAAAAGATACTGAGTGTATAGAAAATTTTGTCACTGGAGGAAAAATAAACAATATGCATATAAGGGTGGCTTTCACTTTAACATTTGAGATATTTTGGAGTTCTTGATACCTTGAAGGTCTCCATTTCTATTGTTATTTTGAATACATGTAACATGTAATGTTGTGCTTACAACAGTTCAACACTGATTTTTTTGGTATTGATAGCTTTACATATAAACAAAGATGTGGACAAATAGCTTAACAAAAGTTGTGGGCTTTTTTGTAGCTTTGCCTGCCTATTTGACTAAATACAAGGTTTAATTGTTTGCTGGCTGTTAACTAAAAGGAAAGCCTATCTGCGTATTGCAAGCTATATATTTTTGCCAGTATCCATTGGATGGTATTTTAACCTACTGGTGCCTGAAGTTAGTGTCTTACAACCTCAACAACTCTGAAACATCCTGGTGCTATTCACTTTAGCGTTGAGTGACATTTTTAATTCCTGTACCAAAGAGTTAATTTTCTTTTTGGTTGAATGAGTTTTCTTCTCGCATCGTTGTGTGTTTATAAAGTAGAATTTAATGTTACTGAGAACAGTCTGATTAAGAGATCTTATTTTTTGCATGCTGCTGTGACAATTTAATGGATTTTAAATGTTTCTCATTTGGACTTTTTTAAGTTAGGCATGTATGGATTTTAATTTTGTATTTTAATATAGCTTGGCTACTTTAAAAGGTAGTTTGATAGGCTGAAATTACAAAAGATTATTGAAGCACTTTTCACGAGTATTTTATTTCTGCAACAATAAAAAAGTAAGAACTAATTTATATAAATGAACAATACAGCTTATTGGGCACTTTAATGAATACTGAAAAAAAATACTAAAGTGAAGAGTTAAGGGTTCATTCTGATTACAGATCAAGAATTCAGCATATGTGTGTGTGTATAATCTTTAGTGGCTTTAAAGAATAATTGCCATTTGTCTACTTTGCAAATAAAGATAAAGTAAAAGAACACCCTTAAAATATATGTATGTGTACATATATATACATATATGTGTGTATAGATATATATATAGAGAGAGACATACAGAGAGAGAGAGAGAGAGAGAGAGAGAGAGAGAGATGGATGCTTTCCCAAGAGGAAATATATATCTTGATTTAAGCAAAACTGATAACAGAATATTGAACTTTATGAAAAAAGTCTGGCTATTGTTACTCACTTTACGTAGAAAGTTAGAGTAAGATTACTTTTACAACTAATTTTGCTTAGTAGTTTATTTTACGAAGATGAAAAACACCCTTTAAGTGTACTTGTAATTTAAAGTACTTTTGAAATGTAGTTGTCCAAATGTAATACTGCTATGTATACTATTTTGGTTCCAAATTTTTCCCTTTAAAACTCTCAAAACACTCTGTGTCCTTAAAACTGCAGCTAAAATGGTTAATGAGTCTGGCAAGAAGGTGACAGTGTGTGTGTTAGAAAAGTAGACAATCACATTTGAATATTTTTCGCATTATTATTAGCTAAAATCAACCTTTCCTTGACTGTAGATACAATATGTGGTTTTGCAGTGAATTCTGAATGGAAAAAAAGAATGAAGTCTTAAATTTATGTGAAATATGGCTTCAGGTCATTTGAATGATATGTAGAAATCTAGATGAACATATCATTAGAGGTGAAGGCAAAATTTGTTTGAAAGCCTAATGAGGTGAAGCAACATTGTCTCTCTCTAATCTGCCAACAATATTCCCTAGATTGTGTTGCCACTATATTGATTCTGAGTAATTTGGCTTGTTTATGCATGATTTAAATGCATGTGGCTGAATGCAGTACTTTTTCAAGTTACTGGGTAATAGAAAATTCACTTCTGTTTACTGTCTCCCAGAGATGAACGTTTAAAAGAAAAAAAATTCTACTTTACCATGTGTAAGAATAAAGCAACTAGATGATACGAAAGTATCTGATGAAAAATTTTCATCAGAATCAGAGATACTCAGACAAGTGAACTGCAAATCTAACATGAGGGGACAAAGATAGGCTCTTGCAAGGACAGAGCACACATGGATCATGCTGTCTGAGCTCACTTTGTGTCCCTGGAATTGGTCTTTTTTGTGTATGATCTGACTGGCAAGTTTAATGAATAGCCAAAATCTGTTGTTATTTTGAGGATCCTAAAATTGCGTGTGAACCCCAAGTTCTGTCTAGCATTATATTCCTAAAATACTTTTATTTTAATAGTGGTATGTTCCAAGTGCCATATGAAGATCCTGTTTTTAAATTTGTCAGGCATTTTATTATTCAGTGCATAATATGTATAGATCTGAGTGCTGTTTTTCTTGCATTGTTTGTTATTTTTTACCTTGTCTTTCCCATAAGAGAATGTAAAGAAAATCTTCACCAAGATTTCTAGTGCTAATGGTAATTAGGAAAATAGTAGTTGAGAGATATAAGAATAGATTGAGAAGAGGGAGTAAAATGGGTGAAAATGACAAGTGGGAACCATGTAGTTGAGATATATTTGTTTAGATGAAAAGTCTACACCGGTTCTTAATACGAAAAACAAACCATGTATCTACCTTAAGAACAATGTTGTTTTTAATTTATTGTAGTGATTTAGTTTTATTCATGTAATATTTCAGTTTTATTTGCAGATTGTTTTTAATTTAAATTGTGAAATTTTTACTTCTCAAAATGTATTACGTACTGTATTTTTTGAAATCTTATTTTTAAATAAATATTTTTTAAAAACGTAGGACTGTTTTTCTCCCATTACGTTTTTATTTAAGAAAATAAACCCAAATTCTAGATTTCAGCACTACCAATGTGGTAGTAGGACACTTTAAAAAATGTTATACAATGTGGATAATTATTCATGATTACTAGCCTTGGGATATTGTTCTACCGTAATCCCAAAATTCATTAAGTATTCAAAAAGAACTAGATGTACCTACTAGGGTTGAAATTGACAAACAGAGTATTTCTAGTTAGGCATATTTATCTTAGTGGATTTAGTTACCCAATTTATTTAATATTATTGTGACAGACACTATTGTATAGAGGTATTTTTTCTTAGGGGAATAATTTACGTGCAATAAAATGCAGAGACTTTGTTTATACCTAGGCACTATTTTAGATCTGGGAATATTGAATAAAAGCCTTTGTTCCTATGAAATTATATTCTAGTAGCTTTTTGTTGACAAATTTTCTCTAATCCTAAATTAAATGCTTCACTTGTAGGAAGTCACAAAGAAGTAAACATGAGTTGGCAAAAAAAAAAAA